AAGAAAAAAAAAAAAAAAGAGGAGATCGGGGAGATAATGGGAGGTGGGATCATAAGGCCTTGCCAGCCATTGTGAGAAGGACCTGTACTCGAGTGCAAGGGAAGGGAGGAGGCTCCTGAGCCGGGCATAAGGACCTGACTAGGGTTTATAGAAGGATCACTTTGAGTGCTCAGAGGAAGAAAAATTCTAGGAGAGCAATGGCATATGTAAAGGGGGTCCGGGAGGCAGCCAGTGCAGTAATTCAGCAAAGATGGCACCAGTTGCCTTAGGGCATGAGAAGTGGTAGGGTCAGATTCTGAATGGAGAGTGGCAGGCTCTCACGGGGCTCCAGATGATCACATGGCTTTTCGGCCTGGGCTACTAATGCCATTTCCTGAAAAGAAAACAAGTGTCAAGGGAAAAGCTGAAGGTGAGGGATCAGACATTGAGCCTCGGACATATTGGACTCACCAAGTGGTTCAGGCCATTGGAAACTCAAGTCTGAAGTTCAGGGAAAAACAAAGGCTAGGAATTTAATTTGGAAAAGAACTAGATGCAGTATCGTCAGGTTGTAACCTGCTGAGCTCCTCCGAACCAAAGTTTCATAAAGGATTCTCAACCTGTCAGATTTCTCCCAGCAAAGAGAGTGCTACAATCGTACACTGGAAGTGCTTACTTTTCTATCAAGGATGTGAGAGAAGGCAGAGAAGGAAGGGCACAGATATCAAGCACACAGAACATAAAATTGGGCAGCATAAAGCAAACTCAGAAAGGCCAGAATGATGGTCCCAAAGCCAGGTAAACAATAACAGTGCTCACAGTGAATTCGGTGGGCTTCAGATGGTGAAGATGGCTCAAATGTATCATTCCAGAAAGAGCAAATGTCATCTGCAGTGTGCAGCCTGTCTCTGAAATGCACTGAGCAGGAAGTCAAGATGTGACTCACACAGGCCTTCCTATGCCAGCAGGAGTACCTGGTTTAAAAAAAAGATGATACCTTTAAAATAGCAACGTCTGGCTGGTACAATCACCTTAACCAAGTGCTCAAACTTCACAGGTTACTGGGAAGGGCTCCCTGCTCTGATGCAATCCAACAGTAGGACACAGCATCATGTGTAACACCCTGGATCTAGCCATGAGGGTGCAATCAGACAAATTCAGAGCATGGAACACCACACACAACTGGCCTGGATACTTACAAAAAGAGGAGATCAGGGGGACCAGCAGTTAGCGTAATGGCTATGTCGCTGGACTCCCAAGTAGTTGACCGCGGTTCGAGTCCTGGACCTGGTGGCTT